GATCTCCTACATTGTACCACAAGGTTCCATATCACAAAGGGAATGCTGGGATTGATTTTATGGGCTATTGCCTCAAAATTTTAGGAATAAGGGGCCAAAAAAGGGGCAAAAAACAAGCATTTTATCTAGTTTCATGACAATAACTTGTGTGTAAGTATATGGATCTTTCTGAAATTGTACTACAAGGTTCCATATCACAAAGGGAAAGCTGGAATTGAGTTGGGGGGTAATTGCCCAAAACGTTTAGGAAAAAGGGGCCAAAAATAAGCATTTTTCTAGTTTCCAGACAATAACTTTTGTTCAAGTGTATGGATCTCTCTGAAATTGTACTGCAAGGTACCATACCACAGAGGAAAGGCTGGGATTGAGTTTGGGGGTAATTGCCCTAAAGGTGTAGGAATTTGGGGCCAAAAAGGGGCCAAAAAACAAGCATTTTTCTAGTTTCCAGACAATAACTTGTGTTCAAGTGTATGGATCTCTCTGAAATTGTACTGCAAGGCACCATACCACAAAGGGAAGGCTGGGATTGAGTTTGGGGTGATGAATCATAAGGGGGTTCAAAATATTTGGGGGGGGGGATTTTTTTTCCTTTTTTTCCTTTTTTTTTCTTTAAAATTTTCCATTTCAAATTGGTTATTTCTGATTTATATGTAAAAGCAAATAATAATGATATGGTTTGAATAGGTAAATTTAAATTTTTTAAGTTCTTAGACCACATTCATTCTGTGTCAGAAACCTATGCTGTGTCAAATATTTAATCACAATCCAAATTCAGAGCTGTATCAAGCTTGAATGTTGTGTCCATACTTGCCCCAACTGTTCAGGGTTCGACCTCTGCGGTCGTATCAAGCTGCGCCCAGCGGAGCATTTTATTAAATGTGCATTTGTAAAATAATTCACTAATATCAGGAATTCATAAAATATGTTTCATAAGCGCTTATGGTTTATAAAAACATGATTATATTAGTTAGCATTGTTGTAGGATTTAAAGTATCATCAACATTAATTTCTCTCTCAATTATTTATTAAAAAAAAATAAGAATAATGAAATTTTAGCTTTTATTTAGAAAAAGAGCTCAGGCATTATTTTTCTTGATTTGCAAATTATTGTCGAAATATACACTTTGAAGCTGAAAGAGAGATTTCATTAAATTTGATCAAAATAGAGAACTCAAATGAAATTAAAAATTATCACTTCAAAGCTAACAATAATTGACATAATACTACTACATAGTTATGGAATTACTTTATCAAAGAGTTGCTTCAAAGCTAACAGAAATTCAGATAAGTCTACTGCTATAGTTATGAAGTTATGTTCATTCCTTGATAATCACTGTTCATCAGGTGATACATGTAGTGTGCACTTACATGTACTATCAAATGTTTATGTTTCAGAAAGTAAATGATTTTATATTAAATCGTTTCTACCTCACCCTGATGTTGTATGAGTTATGGAAACAAAAAAGTTTATGGGAAGTAGCAGATAAATTTCAGCAGCCGAGAGGATTCATACAGAATCTATTGTCTAGTGCATCAGGTTTTGCATCCTGTGTTTTTCATTTCTGTCAGGTAAAAGTCATACATATGATAGACTGAAACTCAGATCAGGAGATTGGGAAAGTTTGGTCAAGTATACATGTTTAGACCTCTGAACAGGAATTTATTAGTTTTTTAGGGAATGGAATAGAAAGATATCTTTTGAGTAATTTTTTGCACTATTTCATGAACCTGTGCATCAGCAGGAAGCTTATTACAGTAGATGAGTCCTATCATCATTAAAACTATCCTTCAGCTGTCAAAAAGTATCAGAAAACATGCTGTTTATCAATTTTTTCTAACCAGATATTGACTTTCATGTTCAATCATTGCTGTGGGTAATTATAAAACATGAGAGGTCAGAAAATAAATTATGCGATCATGATCATGTGATTACTGAAACCAGAGGAGATAGAAATTTATTTACATTTATGCATCTTTACCCTTCAATGTAATAAATTTTAAAGGAACTAATTAATTATCAAATGATCATGAACCAATAAATTTGAATCAATAATTACATTATGTAATACACTGGAAATAATGTAAACAATTGTAGGTGAAACATGTTGGATTCATTTGGCAGAAAAAAAAATTTTGTTGACAGGAAATAAAGTGAATCTTTAGAAAAATATGAAGTTAAAAAAACAAGTTACAGCGTATTTATTGTTAACAAAATGGAATTTGTACAGCTCATTGTTTTGCATACTGAGTACTTTTCATTATGATAATATGACATAATTTGATAAAATGTACTTTTCAAGAAATGCACTTATAATAAATAATATACTGTTATGGGGAATGATTGCCAATGAGAAAACTATGAATGGAAGGCCTAAGGAAAAGGATGCAAATAACTACAGGTCACTGTACAGCCTTCAACAATGAGAAAAACCCACACAATTATTTATGTTTAGATTGGGAAGGTACATGGATTTGTTTATTGTATATTATGTACAATGAACCTTACTTATCCAGAATGGCCTGTGTTCATGGTGTTAATGATTATCATTCTATTTGAGAAATCCTAATTAAGGTAGCTTGGGTGTCTTCCTCAATCTTGGATTTTGAAATAGCAGATAACAATCGATCTAGGTCTTTAATGAAATGTGCAAATTTCGAGAGTAGTAGGTAATTCATGTGTAAGACTTTTGATGTTGATATAGAAAATTATGTGTTTTATTATATTTTCCGGCTGTATTTTATTTTTGTTTTCAACTTTGCCACATAAGGGGAGATGATTCAGACAGAGTAACTTTCATAATAGAATGTGTTGTGAATTTACCTATTTTGTAATGTAGCAAGAAAATTAGTGCGGTGACCCCTTTTTTTTTTTTTTTTATATGAAAGCATATTATTAGAGCTATCCTCTCATATTCTATCTTAAAATTCTGTGATGTAGTTTTCTTTTTATCACACAAAATTGGGTTTTCCATGCATAAACTATTTAAAATCTGACAATTTTGCACAACCTGTAGTGTGAAAAAAAGCCCAGTGACCCATATTTTTTCTTATATTTTTGAAAAAGGCGTGATATGAACTACATTTTGACAAATTATTAAAACATTCTATGGATTTTAATTAAGACCCCCCCATCTACCTTAACAAATTAAGAAGTCATTAGATCAGAACTGTATGAGGACTGTTCATTTGACACATCAGTAATACCGATTCTTATATTGTTATTTTTGATCCTGTAAAGAAAGTCACAGGAGAGAGAAAAAGCAATCTCACATTCCATTGTTGTCAATCTATAGGTTCCGTCTGTGGTAAATAATTTCTTTGTAACATTAATAGTTTGATGTCATTCATCATGATTTATCAACTAAATAAATACTAGTACTTGTATATGAAAATAAATTCATAATAACAATTTTCATATGTTGCTACTGATGACAAAATGGAGGACAAGTTCGACATTGGCATTTTTCCCGTCTGCCATTCTGGGGTGATATTCCTTGATTGTTTGGCGAAGGCACTTCCTGTCACCTATGTACAATAACTAGAGAACCACTCAACTAATGCTTTTCAAATTTTTATATATTGTTCCTGATGATAAAATGGTGGTCAAGTGTGATATTTAAGATTTCCACTTGTGCCATTTAGGAGTTAAGTATAAAAAGAAGATGTGGTATGAATGCCAATGAGACAACTCTCCACAAGAAAACAACAATGAGCAAATCCCATACCGCATAGTCAGGTATAAAAGACCCCGAAATGACAAATGTAAAACAATTCAAACTAGAAAACTAACAGCCTAATTTATGTACAGAATAATGAACAAAAAACAAATATGTAACACAGCAACAAATGACAACCACTGAATTACAGGTTCCTGACTTGGGACAGGCACATACAGAATGTGGCGGGGTTAAACTAGTTTGAAGGCGCCAACCCTCCCCTAACCTGGGACAGTGGTGTAACAGTACAACATAAGAACAAACTATAAAAATCAGTTGAAAAAGGCTTAACCCATCAGATGGATACAAATAGAAATACATCTAACAAAAACACAAAGTGGACGTGGACGGGTACTTGTACATCCCAACAACAAAAAGACACTTAGCACAGATCTGAGAGTACTCGCAGTTACTGACAGCTAGTTCAAAGCCAATAACAACTTATCATGCATCTAAGACTAAATTATCAATCAGTACACATAAGGTCTTGATTGATTTGAAAATTGTGCTCTTTTAATCTTTGTGATATCTTCAGAATACTTGATTCAGTCCTTTTCAAATTTAAGTATGTTCTTTCTCAAGACAAAAAGGAGGTCAGGTTTTGTTTAGATGATTTCATTTTAGCGGCTTAGGAGACATTGTCATTGATAGCTTTAACAATGACACTTATTAATGTAAGAACAACACAGCTTGTTGTCAATATGGCATCCCCTTGCTTGTTTTGATTGGCTGCTGTCTTATTGATGTACACCACACATCTCCTTTTATTCATAATACATACATATAGCAAGAAAACCCAGGGTACAGGACCGAAAATAATATAGCCTAGCTTACCTATCACGAGAAATCTACCAGCATTTGAAATCACTTTTGTGTGTATCAAAAAGACCAAATGATTGCTTCATAAATTTACCAAAAAAATGTCCACAACAGAAAATATAATTGTCAATGGAAAGTAATTGACTGTTATTTGCTAATCTTTAATCTAGTTTTAATATGTGTTGACATCACAATAAAGTTAACTACAACAACAACAAGGCACAGTACCTCCAATTATTATTGCATATTTATTTGTTTATAATAAGTACCAGCGAACTAAAAAGTTAAAATTTTGTATGATGCCTTTTGGTACTTTGACTTGACCTTAAGCTCTAACCTTGACAATAATTTATGAAATTGTAACTAATAGCTTAGATGGCTACATAGCCTTCAATCAACAACTAGCAAGAACTAGAAGGCCTATACAGAAACAGATCTTCCTCTGATCGTAATGATAAATCAATGAAAATTTAATATCATTTATTGAGAAATCAGATTGCCTGAAAATGTGCTGTAATGATATGAGCCGCTAAAAACAGTGTAACTGGAAATAGTCTTTACAGCTATTTGATCCCCTTTCTGTAAATCCAATACCATACTGAGTGTCCCTGTCTGATGAGTTGAACCTTTTATATACACACTGGATACTCTGGTATTATTGTGCCAAATACTGACAGCCAAGGATTTTCCATTATTACTCGTAACAACTGAAGAGAATTGATATACTCCAGCAATAGGTGCAGTAAATATACCAGTGCTTGGATTGTAGCCATTTAGTTTGTTAGTAAAAACTTTGTCGAACTTTATTATATCATTTGTTGAAAGAGATTTTGAATTTGTTAAGCCAGCTGAAAAAGCAGGTATCTTGAACAGTGCACAGCCTTTATCTGCAAAAGTAATGCATATATATATATAATCGTTAAATATTGAGCCTATTTAAAATACAATATGTGATTGAAAAAATCTTTGAAAGTTGGTTTTTAATAAAGATTGTTGGTTTTTACAATGTTTTTGTAAAGTACTTTTACTAGACCATTGATATTTTTGTCATATTTTTATTATGATGTGAGCTTTTTAAAATATGTGCCGAAGTAGAGTTTTGTATTCATTTCATGGGACAATAATCAGGTAAAAGATTTGGTTTTAAGTAGTTTACCACAAAGTTTTGGTCACATCAGGATGAAATTTAGTGCACATTTCAAAATAAATACCAAATTAGTGTTATAACCCAGATTTTGAAGTTGATTGGGAATGTGATTGTGTGAGTGGGGTATGGTGTTCTATGGACACATAGTGGATTTTTTTAATAAAAAAAACTGTTTATGAGTTACTGAATATGAATTCTGTGCAATTATTGAAAGGATGTTAGTTATGATGTCCTCAAATAAAAAAAAAATCATCGAAATAAACTTTTTTTCCATTCTGAACACACTTGATAACATGAACATTAACCAATCGATGGGCATTTTGACAATAAATGTCTCTTCAGTGATGCTCATGGCCAAAGTGATTCAAAATCCAAACCTTATTTAAAAAATGAAGAGCTGATATACCAAAAAGGACAAAAAGTGTACTGTATAGTCAAAGCCAGGCAAGGAATCCGAGCTTGCATGAGGGAGATATATTCCTAGATTTTAAATAATTTTTAAAACTTTTTAACAGCAATTTTTAATAACACAATATCCGTATTTTCATGCCAATAGTGAAGAACTGGCTACTGGGCTGGTGATACCCTTGGGGACTAACAGTCCACCAACAGAGGTAGTGACCCAGTGGTATATTAATATCATGAACATGAATGGTACTACCATTTGACTGCAGCAGATAAATTTCTCTCGAGGCTAAACTATTAGAAAATCAAAACCTTATTGTTTAGAAATAAATAATTTCTTGCTTGAGATTTGACAATAACACAATATAAATGTATTACAAAATTGTTGCCAATACTTTCTCCACAGCCCCAATATACAGAAAACCCTTCTGAAGTATACATTTTTAGCAAATTTGGCAGGGGTTTACTTGACCACGGTTTACCTGCCAGGTGTGGAGGCACAGGGATTATTGCTGCATATCAAAGCAAGGGAAACTCAAGTTAGCTTCCAGAAACCAATATTTTCCAAAAGTTTCAATACCTTGAACTTTGACCTAATGATTTAAAAAAACCAATAGGCATCTTTCCCTTTTCTATATCATCCATCTGCATAAAAGAGGGACGAAAGATACCAGAGGGACAGTCAAACTCATAGATCGAAAACAAACTGACAACGCCATGGCCAAAAATAAAAAGACAAACAGACAAATAATAGTACAGATGACACAATAAGTTTCATACCAATCTAGTAAGGGAAATTCAAAATCATTTTAAAAAAAATAATATCAGTGACCTTAATCTTTGACCTTGAAATTAATAGACTCAAGTTATAATTTGGAAATCATTTGTTTTGGACACACAGACAGACTGAAGGACCGATGGATGAACAATTGACAACTATATGCTTTTGAATTTTTTTCAAGGAGCATAAGGAATGATGGATATGGCGCTGAATAAATGCTCCTAAATTTTAGCTTTTTGTTCATCATATAATTAGTTTAGGACTGATGAGCCCCTTGGTTTTCTTATTTGAACATTGAAATACCCATCAAAATGTAGAATAAAAATCCTGTAACATATTCCTAGGTTAAACAGATATATGTTTTAAGTGTTGATACATTTTAAATGAAAATGGTTTAATATATCAAATATTTTAACCTTACCTGAATCTTTCTTTAACAACACTTCAACTAGATCCTTGAGAAGTGAACCCTCTGAAATAAAATAATTGTAAATATAATGAAATATTTTATGTTTAGAAAATGATAAAATTTGTATTATAGTCTTTGTCCACAAGTTCACTGACAAGTATTAAAAGTTTGGTATAAGTATTGAACACTTTTCCTTAACTTTAATGCAAACAAACTTTAATATTTTATAGCCAAACAACTTCCTATATGTCCTCATTACTTGTGTTAACATTGGAAACAATTTGAAAACAGACCATGATGATGATGATGGATGACTGCTTAACGTCCAGCAGAATACTAAATGCATATTAAGGATGAGAACATGTTAGTTTAATATTAACCCTGCTTTGTACTAGACCCACATACTCAGTGGGATTTTTTACGTGCTAGTTCACAAGGTAACTCTGCAGGAAGACATATCACCCTACCCAGACACATTATTCTGACTCCGAGCTGACCAGACTTTGCTCTTACTCCTTAATGCCAAGTGCTTAGCGGAGAAGCAGCAAATACCAATTTTAAAGGCTTTCCTTTAACCTCCCTATTTGAAAAGAGAAATATTTAAGCTTTTGCATTGAATTATGATGTGTTATTGTTGGGAGAAATTATAGTTTCTTTGAATGTTTTTTACTATTTTGTTTTGCTATTTTAATTTTAAGACATTGATGAAAGAAATAAAAGATACAATATCATAGTGAAAAAAATCTTATTTAAATATTGAACCTTATGTGTTAATTCAACTTTGCATATATTCTAACAAAAAACCATCAAATTATTTACCTAGTTTAACATCACAAGATCCCATGATCATCTCTCCACATAAAACCAATGTAAGAACAGAGATGCTGTACATTATTGCTAGATTCATGATGTATTTAAAGGGAAGTAACTCTGGATACTTGTAATATTTCAATTATTTAGTATTCTTTTATATACTTGTATTTAATATAACATCACAAAGCCTTTGGAAACGACTTGAAATTTAATATGTTTAATGAGTTTTTGTCACACCAACATTTCTGATAAAAGAATCAATTTAATTCTGGATAACTTCCAAAATGTTAACAGTTTATATCTGTATGTAATAATAAATGGTCCAAGAAAAAATGCAAATGATCCCAAAATAAATCATTAACATTTAAGCTTTTCTTTTTTACCTCACCTGGCCCAAAGGACCATTGTAAGCTATTGCCATCACTTGACATCCATTATTTGTCTTCCATCAAGGTCCACTTACTTTAACAAAAATCTTCTCCTCTGAAACTACTTTGACCAATTGGAACCAAACTTGACCAACATGATCCTTTGGGATTATTTAATTTTGAAATGTGTTTAAGGTTTCGACATGCAAATCAACATGGTAATCACTAATATCCTAAAAAACATTATTGAAAGAGAAAATCTAACAGGGTCAAAAATATTCAGAATGTTATAATCTTTCTACTTTCCATTTTGACCAAATTTGTCCTGCAGGAGTTACTGCCTTTTACTTAATTTTTTAGGTTTGGCTATAATCCTGAAAATTATAATAGATAGAGTGGATCTTTACATAGCAAATGGGATCAGTAATATTGATTGATTGATTGTTGCTTGGCTAGTGACAATACAAGTTCTACAAATAAGTTTACATACTCAAAATTATCATTCAAGTTCTCAAAGGAATTATGACCCTTAAAGGATAACTTTACCAATTTTGGGTGAGTTTTGCTATAATTTTGAAAAGTATTTAAAAAACAGAGACATTTTTACATAGCGAAGTTGATCAGCTAGACAAGATCTACAACTAAGGCAACATGGTCAGAATTGTCAGTCTATTCTTATAGGAGTTATTGCCCTTTAATGTCAATTTTGTAACCATTGCTACATTTTTGGCCAACACTCAAGTAGATAGAAATAAACTGTTTACAGCAAAATAAGATCTACAAAAAAGAAAAAAAATGACAGAAATCTTCAGTCAACTTCTTATTCTTATTATTGCCCTTCAATAAAAGGTAATAACAAATTTTTGGTAATATTGGATACTATTAGTGATAGAAGGAAACCTTAAACAATAAAATTTATCATTCTTTTAAGTCAAATAACCTAAATAATAAGTGAAAAATGCTGAGCAAGACAAATTTTTAGTCCACTTAGTTTTTATTCAACACAAATATTCTTGCTGCATTGCATAATTTTTAAGTAAAAGAGCCAGGTTAGCAACAAGGGCACCTTGAAGACTATAGTTCAAGTATCCCATGTGATTTGTACATTTAACCATCCTATTGTTTTAAATTCTGATATTGAATGTGAACTTGGTTCGGATCTGTTGTCCTGAATGAGTCGTTGTGAATGTTATGAACTTTCATCAGATATAGTGGGAAAGCAGCCCACATGGTCATGATAGGTTAGATTTACTTTATAAGTCCCAATTCAAACAATTATAAGCAGTTTATTTCCTTATACACAGTCATGTGAATGCCCTTGTAGGATAGATCTTACTACTGGAAGGTTGAAAGACAAACAATTATCTTTTTACATCCCATCTATTCTTCGTGACTTACATAAAAACTGTGAATTCACCTTTTAGAATTACAATGTATATGAAAAAGAAGTAGTTTATATTAAAACATAGACATATATTTTAAGGAATTGGAAGAGTTTTGGGCTTACCAGGATTTACTAGGAAATTTTGTAAAAAGACTATCATATTGTGTCACAACAGAGTTAATTCCTTTGATGGAAATTCCTGGAGTCAAATTGGTAAGTTCTTGCATATTTTATTTTCAGTTGATAGGATGCCTGAGATTGCTTTGCTATCTGTTATTCAATTTTTTGTGTGCGACAGAACTCCAATGAGAAAATAGTATATAATTGTCTAATGTGACAATAAGTTAACACAAAATATAAAGATATAATACCAATTTAAATGTGAAATTGTAAGTCGTGAATTCATTCTCAAAAGAACATTGTGAGATCTGTTAAAAATCAGTTCATCATTTACTATCAGATATTTTTTGTAGGGAAGAGCCAAACAGCTTCATTCCAGTGGATATAAAACACTGTCACATGTGGCACATGCTGATCCAGTCAACATTGTTAAAAATATAAAACAGATATCCAAAAAGGCTGCTACACAGATTGTCATTTCTGCAAAGGTAAATTATGCTGTAGCAAAACTCCATCTAGAGTTGAGCAACAAGTTTCAAAACATTGAAATCTCTGCTTATACAACATATTTCAATCTCATTTAAATGTACACTCTGAATAGAAGTGATTTTTGTATAAAATAATGCCTGTCATTGTTTTTAAAAACAGTACAAAGATCTAAAAAACAAAATGTTTAACCACATTAACCTAATGTTTTATACACATAAATAGATATTTTTAATTTGGCTATTTAATGGTCCCGTGTAAAATTATATTAAAAAGAAAATAATTCATTACACATTGCTATTGTGTAGTATGTGATCAACATCATATTTCTAACTTTTCTACTTTATTTTAAGACAAATAACTGAGATATCATCTTATATTAAATAAGAAGATGTGGTATGAGTGCCAATTAGAAAACTATCCATCCAAGTCACAATGTGTAAAAAGTAAACAATTATAGGTCAAAGTACGGCCTTCAACACAGAGCCTTGGCTCACACCGAACAGCAAGCTATAAAGGGTCCCAAAAAGACTAGTGTAAAACAGTTCAAACAGGAAAACCAATGATCTAATCTATATAAAAAACGAGAAATGAGAAACACTTATGAACCACACCAACAAACGACAACCACTGAACAACAGGCTCCTGACTTAGGACAGGTGCATAAAAATGCAGCGGGTTATGTATTTATATCTCATGTGAAATATGATATAATATATTCCTGAATCACTTCATACTACTGCATTGAACTAGGCATAAACAATAAGTTTGTTTCCCAACCACAAGTAACATTCTTCTTGTTTTACAGAGTGTTAATTTGTACTTTGAAATATAGTTTTCATTGTACAAGTATTAGTAACTGTGATTCAGAAATTATGTCTGCTACAACTCGGAGGAGAGTACATAGAATGCCTGGTGTCAGTACATGCATTCACATGTCTCCATTGCTAGCACTCACACTGTAAAAGTTCTTAAAGGAATCTTAAAAGAGGGACCTTTATTGCCGAGTGGTCTAAGTAGATCATCCACTGTATCACTAGCCTGTCAACACTGAGGTTGTGATTTCAAACCCCACATATGGTAGGTGTGTTTGACTCAAATCTTAATTAACTAGGATTGTCAGTACTCCTGATGAAAGTCGTTGTTTCACTTTGGGCACTCTGGCTTCCTCCACAATAAAAATTTACCGCCACAATATAGCCAATAATGCTGAAAGTGTCGTTTTTCAGGAAGTATTTTCATCAGAAATGCTAAAAATCTAAAAATTGAAAGCCAGCAATGTATAACTACTTGAAACAAAACTTTACAACAAAATGATTTCAGATTCTCAATGAAAATACTTCATCTCTTTCACACCAATATTTAAAGGAATCAGTATATTGAACTTTTGATATCAATGTATGTGCCTTTAGCTTATGGGTTCTAGTATCATAACTGTTTATGGCCAGTAATTAAGGAATATTAGTGCACAATCTAAAACATGAAGTAAATTTTAATTTACATATTAAAATGTCATATTCAGGTCTGCTGTTAATATACTATTAGATGAAATTGGGACAGATAACCAATTTGATAAAGTAAAGACCTTCATTTGCTTTACTCACTGATTTGTTGCATGAATATCACAATGTCTGGGATCCTGTGTCAATTCATGCCCTGATCATGAGTGGAGAAAATATCTTTTACATCTTGTTGCAAAATATCGTTTCAAATGATAAAACTTGATCATATCTAAATTTAAATGACACGATCTCCTCATACTGAGCCTATTTAAAATCCAAAATGTCATAAAATTACCTATACTTCACATCAATTCATGTATTGTAACAAAACACTTACACGTCACATTAGGATGCATGAAATCACATTTTTATTTGAACCAGATTTTCATATTTTGTTTGTGACATGTTTTAGGTTCTTTTGAATGAAAAAGCAGAAGCATTGAGGGAAGAAGTTGAAGAACTTATAAATGTACCTGAAGGAAGTGTTTCCGTGACAACAATTAGTTCCCAAAAATCTGACATTCTACCTCCTACCCCTGATGGTGCAAACTTCTCACAGGAATCAGTTACATAATGTTGTCTAAATGACATGATAGTGTTGAAGCTGAAAATTATGCCCTTTTCAAGTGTTTTTATAATGTGCAATCATCAATTGGGAAATATTGATATTAAATTTAAAATTTAATATACATGTATATAAAGTATTTCATGTTGGTGGCATTTTACTTAAGATAAATTATGATGTCTTCAACCTGAGGATATAGTGTTATTACTTGGTAATTCTGTATTGGCTCAGTTAAAGATGCTGACTCATAATTCCATTCATTCTGTAAACTTGTTGTTCATTTATAAATTCAGTAATGAAAAAATATGTATCCTCATGTTATTATAAGGTTTACAATATTAATAAAATGGATCATATCTGTTAAATGATGGAGGAATATCTATTTCAAAAAATTATCATTCTGTACACAAATCAGCTCTCACAGATAGGACTTAGTGGCTGAGGGGTCTAAGTAGTTCATCTACTCATCTACTGTATCACTAGCCTGTCAACACTGAGGTGTGAGTTTGGACCCTGCACATGGCAGGTACATTCAACTCCTATCTTGATTGACTAGGATTGCCAGGTTTCCTGCTGAAGGTCGGTTGTTTTCTCCGGGCACTCAGGTTTCCTCCACGAATAAATATTTCCTGCCACAAAAAAGCCATTTGCACTGAAAGTGATGTTAAACACCAGATAATCAACCAATCTCTTGGAGACTAGAATTCCATAATACAAAAATG